ACTCACACACGTCAGGTTATGCATATAACAGGTGGAGACTGATTTAATTTTTGCTCTGTTGTAATTTTTCATTTGTCTGACTACCAAATTTCAAACCTGAGACATAACATATTGTTAAACCGTATTATTTGTAGAGTTAAATTATATTGTTGTTGTTTGAGGACAAACAATAGTTCAAATTTGGTGGAGTTTGATAAGTACGTTTTTACATACTTATTTTACTATCAAAACATGAACAATTGTTGATTAATATGTTGCAATATAGCTTAATTCTATGCAATTCATATTTTGTAGGACAAGTGATGAATGTCGCGGAAATAAGGAGAAACAAGTGGAAAAATGACCAAAATGGAAGAAAGTGAAAATTCAGGGATTAAAGTGCAAATACTCAAAAATTATGTCGGGGCTCACGATGAAGGTTCCAGATTGCTAAGGGTCGATTGGAAGCAATTAGAAGTAAAAAAGGAATGGAATATTATCAAAATCAATTTCCAATTAGTACAATATATATTTCAGATTTTTAGTATAAGATTGAGACCCATTTTTGGCATAGTAAAAGTTCGAATTGGAAAAGAGCTATTTCTAACAAAGTTGCAGCTCTTTGAGTTATCTTTCTAACACATTTTAATTGTTTAAATCGAATATCGGAAGAGAAAGTTATAACCAAATTACTGACTGCTGTATAGAGACAAAAAATCTGCGCGCGAAAGCAACTTTCCGTATTCGATTAGAACTCTTTTGGAAACTAATTTGGACGTGATTTTCATCCAATTTTCGACTCTTACAAATACTTAACAGGAGAATACATATGGAGGAGACTTCCATACACCATTCTTCTCCTCTTTGGTTTAAGAAACTCATGGAGAACTAAAACCCTTGGTGAAACTACGAAGGAACTCGGTTGGAATTTGTGATTTCATGTCTTTATTCATTTAATTTGATCTTTTCATTTTCAAAAAATCCTAGAATTTAGATTTTCATTCTCTTGAATTTATATTGAAATCGGTTTAATATTTGCAAAATTTTTCATGGATTCAGTCATTTTTTTTTTCATTGTTTAATCAAACTATTTATTGAGTTTCAATTTCAATTATTTATTATTGAAATTGGTTTAACAATTATTATATCTTTCATAGATCCAGTCATGCTTCTTCTATCGTTAGATTAAACTAGTTGTTGAATTTTAATCTCAATTTTACTTTATTGACGGATTGATTACTACCTTATACTTGATGTATATAATCGATCTTTGATCTTATTCCAATAAAATTGTGCGAATATCTTAAGTCTAAATTTTAGAATTATATTTGTAAGTTAAATTGATTTTTACGATATATCTTCCGATTATAGTGTTGGGATGAAAGCCTCTAATTGTGTTATAAAAATGAATAATTGATATGATTGATTCAATCCAATTGAGGGAATTCTGACGCTTCACTGCTTTTAATTATTGATTTTAATTTCACCTTTCAACATTGAATTTTATTAAACATTTGAGAGAACAATTCGGCTTTTTTGATCCTTTAAATATTCTTCCATCTCTCTGTGGATACGACATCTCAAAACTGCACTACAACTGCCGCGTTATTCTTTGAGCATAATTGATACATATTCAATTACAATGCAAGAATAACTAAAACAATAAGTCTTTGAATTAAAAACTACAAATCAATAGGTTTTGTCATGCATCCAATACATAAAAGATTTAGCATAGCATTGCCCTGTGAAAATTACACAAAATGAATAGGAACATACATCACCTGAGACAAGGAATATGATGAAGAACTTGAAAATTCCAATTCTTCACTTTAATCTTCAACCCAAGCGTTGAATTCTTGTTTCTTGAATGTAATAATGCTTCTTGCACTCTCAAACAATGATAAAAAGATCCACATACGTTCTGGACGACTTATAACATATATAGAGTGCCAAAACATTGTATATCAAAAGTTTCCTTACTGAGATTTTTCCAGAAATTAAATAAGGGCACGCGATTAAGTACCTTTTTAGCCTTTGTCTCCCAACTTCATGGGGGAGGCACGCGCCTGATTTGTAGGCTAGGGCGCACACCTGGCTAATTGATTTGGGGCCAATTTTTACACATTGGTCCCTAAACCTCCATTCCAGTGCCCTTTTGGTCCTTTTCGATCGTCTTTCATTCTGTTGACTTTTATTCATGTTCAATTGAGTCTTAGCACTCCCGCTTGTTTGTTATTTGGCCCAAGCCAACTTTTGGTTAATTGTATTTTAGTCCGTAAACTTTTACTTTCTTTCAATTTAGTCCATTTTCTTTGTTTTTCCTCTGATTCCACCATTTTCATCAATTTGTACCTCAAAAACATAATACACATAGAATTAAGCTATAATTCATTCAAATATCCCAGTTTAATAGCTTAGATAAGTGTATAAAAAACATGATTGTTTGTTTGTGTGCACATATATGCACATTTTTCAATTCTCCCATTATATTATATACTCCCTCCGTCTAGGGGTGTCAACGAGTCGAACCACAAGTTGAAACTTGAAGTTCGGGCTGACTCGGGCAAAAATGGTTCGAGTTTTTTTTGGGTGATAATCTAAACTTTTTTTAAGAATTTGTGCAATTTATATACACGTGAATTTAAAATTCGTGAATTTTAAATCTATTTTTAAATTATTTTTTTTTTAATAAAGCTCGGCTTAGCAGCCGAATGGCCCGTGACCCGGGCTAGCTCAGCTCGAGCATATGCCCCAAAATGGGGCTCGACCAGAGCCTCGGCTTGGGGGCTTGGGCTTTTCCCGGGCCAAGACACGGATGGCCCGAGCCGGCAAGTCTTTTTAATATCCCATATTTATGTGTAAGAGGGTGTGTTATTATGAACGACCAAATCCTACGACCCAAGGGTTAAAAGTTCATGGCATTTATCTTGGGAATGCATTCATCGCCATCAAATTTTAAGAGTTACAAGTTGAGTAAATATATTTGTATCAACAATGTTGAAGAGGATAAATTAATTATAGAAATCTGTCAATTGTCTCGTGTCTTGAACTTATTATTTTCTTATTTTATTTACTTAATTTAAAACAATTTTGACATTTTCTTTATGAAATATATGGGCGTGGCAATGTATGAAAGGCAAATCTTTACTGTTTTGTATGTCTGGAAACTTAATATGCTCTTTAAATGCGTAGAGTTGGTAGTGGAAGTGAAATTTTGAACATTTACTAATCAAGATTTTTCTTGATAGGAAGAGGTTGTTATATACTCTTTTTCCCATTCTCTGATCGAGGAATATGAAAATTGATGATTAGAGATCATTTTGGTTTCCTTGTTAAATCTGGACATACAAAAAGGTTGAAAGCTATTGTATCTCACTAGGAATGGCAACGGTACGACGTGGGCGTCCAGGGAATTTTAATGCCCTGTCCCCACATAAGGTGAGGCAATAATCCCCATTCTCTACCCCAATTTCCCGTTTAATCAATTATTCATTTTTTTTATTATTATTTTTAAAATACAGTATAAATATTAGTTGTATAAATAAGTATTGGATTGGGGGCCATGTTCCTCATCCCAACCAAGGGCAAGGGATTTTGCCCTTGCATCTCCTCAATAACCCGACTAACCACGAATCCCTACCCCCATTCGGGGTGAGCCACTGCAGGGTTGGGCGGGTACTAGCTACTATGCAGCCAGTAAACCAACAAATTAATCCCTTGAATACTTCAAATACAACAAACGTGATATCCCAAATTGTCCTCTACTTGTCAAAAAACAGTTGCAACCTCTCTACAGTTTGAGTTTGCCCAAATCAACTTTCTTGACTGGATATGTATATGCCTCATAGTTGATTTGTTGCCCCAATGAACTCAATTTTGTAAGAGTGGTAATTAGGTCAACCTGCAGATTGAATTTCCAATAAGACATAGCAGAGCAACATAAATTCATAAATGCAAACACCTCGTTTTTCTCTTGATTTTTTTTAGGCTTTCATTTCCTTAGCTGCCACACTCCAATCCCTTTGCTAAGTGTACCGAGAATAAATAACTTTTTCAATTGGTCCCTTTATAGATTAAAACTGTGTTACTTACCTCATAATCAGTTTGAGACACAGTTTCCCTACTGCGTTGGTATTTCAAAACCCATTTAGCAACCTCCGGGTCTGAGGCAAGTGCTTCCTCAGTTGCAGCTTGATCAGGGCCTAAGAATGCAGACAAAACTGCTAGCTGGGAAAAACAAGGGGGAAAGTCAGATTAGGGGTCGTATATAAATTGAAGAAAACATTACTAACGACTTTGCTCGTAGTAACATAAAGAATTGTCAAATATCGTAGAAAACATTTCCATAATAATGGCCTTTATCACAGTTGCAATCAAAGTCTTCCATGTATCATTTCAATATTCTATTGGAAGGTACTTAGACATCTTTCAACTTAATTTGTAAAGAATGCCTATGTCAACTAGGAATGATTATAGCCATGGATACCAAAATGCACGAAACTGATGGGGTCATGGGTGTGGATGGTGCCATTCAGTGTCACCAGAAATCATCGACAAATTCACCAGCCCAATTATACACTAATAAACTAAGTCAGAACAGCTATGTCAAGGGGGATGACCATGAGATACATTCACCAGCCCAATTATAATGACGAACCAGGTCAACCAAACTCCATAGACTATATGAACAACCTAGCAAGGCAAAAGGAAGGGTCCAAACCAAAGAGAACTCATCAAGATCCCAATAAGCCTCACAACCTAAAAACTAGAAGTAGGAAAGAGCTAGCAATTAACATCATTGTTCCCCATAAATGTGTTCCATCAAAAGAAAGCTTCCGTAAAATTAAGTCTTTTAGAAGGATCTATCAATCAATCACAATCAACACCATGCAAGGAAAGAGAGATTTACTATATTCACATCAAATAAATTGCTACTTAATTGTTAATCCAACTTGACCGTCAAAGTATCTGAGTTGAGACATCATACTTGTTATCAGAGGAAGTTCACGCAGTCAATAGTAGATTTCTAGCATCTACAAAAGCTTTCTTTTAAGGCTTTATATTTTCTCTTATTTTATTATGTAGAAGTTTGCAAAAATTATACTACACAAAATGAACTAAATTACTGCTAAGGCTTCAGGTTTTGTTGTTTTTGTGTTAAATTTACTATAGACTCCAATAATATTTCAATTCAGTTGTTTTGCAGTTTTAATGTTGATGTGTTGTATATGATTGCCTCCCTAAATTGTTTCATAAGTTCACTAAGGTTGTACTGCTTCTTCCCTTTTTTTTTTTTTTAAATTAGATCGATAATGGTCATACTACAATTAAGGTAAAAGAAAAAAGACACAGCAGAGATTGAAATCATAGATCGAATTTCCACATTCTTGAATATTCCTTGTTCATTTTCAACTAGCAATTTTAATTTTCGGTTTTGTTCTCAGTATCAGTTTTTATTTAAAACCCAATAAGGAACCGAACAACAATTTTTTTCTCTGTCCACAAGTAATCAATTGTATAAAACAGTTTTGGACCTTTACTGGCTTATTCCTAGCTGACGACGAGGAGTCAACGAAGTTTGTAATAAGATCTAGGGTGATTCAAAGCATGAAGAAGGCACACGAGATAGTTCCATTAACTCTTACTCTTTTGTCTCAATTTTTTGGACTGGTTAAATTTTTAGTTATGTATACTAGGAAGACGAAAGCCCAACAAATAACAGAACGAGAAATATAGTTCTCTTGAGACATATATATATATCTGCTCAAAATATGCATCATTTGTAGTTGGATCTTTTAAATGAATGAATCCATTCACCTGGCGAGGGCCAAAGCCAATAGCAGAGAATTTATCTTTCATTTCCTGAACACTTGCTTTTTCCCATTGAGGCACCCTCCCTTCTGGATCAGGCTCTTGGGCATCGGATCTTCCAAATTGTTTATCAAAGAGGCCCCACTGTATGAAGATTAAATTGTAGAAAATACAGGCAGGCAAGATATAAAAACTGTTTGTTGTAGAATAAGCATACTAGAATATAGATGATATTGTATATGGTTGTATGTAGACTGCACATAATTAACTATGCCTACATATTCTTTTTTTCATATCGAGTGTTCTACTGAAAAAGAGCAGTTGAACATAATGTTATACTAATATTTTTCCATAAAAATGTTCATTTAAAAGGGTGTCCAAATTACTTCATAGCGAGGGTGTGATGTTTTAGGAAAATGAAGAGCAGATATTCTAGAAATTCAAGAGTAAAATGTGCTGAACTTGCGAATGGAACATAATATGGGAAATCTAACCTGACCAGATGAACCATATGCAGTGTACAATAAGGCCCCTTTTTCCTTATTCCCACCACATTTTCGAATGGCTGAAGCCAGGAAGGTAGATTTAATTGCACTTTGCGCTGCAATGGAAGGGGAAAAGAAAGGCCGAGTCAAAAATCTTCAATCATAAGAAACAAGCAAACGAACAAAGCAGTTATATTCAGTTATTCACAACATTTGATCCTTTTCATCCTGGCACAGTTACAAATAGGTTGACAGCATTTACTCTTCAAGGCACTTAAAAACAAGGCTATATTAGTTAATTTAAAAATCACGTGGGCCTTATGTAGGGTTCTATGAGTATAGCATCATTCATCAATTGACACATTACAATTGGATGTAATATTTAAATGGGAGGCCTTTGCGGATGTAAAAATGATGTACTTCTAGTTTTTTCACATTCATATGCCGAACCTGCATAGTGGATAAGATCTGCATATGAAATAGGTCCACCCTTGGAGTACGAATCAATCTCCTTTTTTACTTCTTCCAACAAATTCAAAGCTGCTGCAAGACCCTTATTTTCTGGTCTGCTTATCTCTGAGCTTCAGGAAAGAAAAAGAACACAACATAAACCAAGTTAATGCAGAGAAAGGAGCTAAAATTCAACAAAGGTACTTGCCAAAAATGACCAAATTTAATCAGAATTGGCAATTCCATAGGGTTTCCATATTTCGCGATTTTTTATGGATCAAAAATACTGGTTCTTCAAAAGACTCAAAAATCAAAAGCTCGTATTAAAACAAAAGCTGTAGATAGCATGTAGTAGCATCATTGAGAACTTAATTATATCTGATAAATATGAGATCAAAATCTCATTATTGACTAATGCTTCTATAACAAATTGCATTTTAAACTTTTGCACAGAAGTCCCCAATTTCTATTAAAGAGCAGAGGCGGAAGTAAAATGGTGTTACATGCTAGTAAGAAGCAGCTTCTATTGCAGGTTATGTCAAGTTACCTAAAGCGAATTGATCCATTGGGGCCTCCAGATTTTGTTGCCTGCAGACTTAACAAACCCATGCATCATCTCTTCTTTGCCACAATCTTTACAAGTAAATTTAAAACGGATTTATCTGACCTTTTCATAAGTAATAGCATCATTAAGTGCCAAAGTTAATACAGATGGGACGAGATCTGGATTCCCCTAAATGCATTCAGAAAAACAACTGATATGTTGCAGTTAAGCTACACACTGAATCAATTCCAATCGGCATACTTAATCCGTGACAGTAAAGGTTTTACCTTCAATGAGTCAGCAAGAGTTCCCTTAATTGCAGCTGTTGAAACACAATAAGTCAATTCAGCAGAAGAGAACAGATATTGATAACTCACAAAAAGGAACTGAAGATCTCAAAGAGCTTACATTGAAATTCTGAACGCTGCCTGCGTTGTATCAAATCGGCTGCATTAGCCACTTCAACAAATGAAGTGGATCTTGCAATCAAGTCCTACAAAGCAAACAGAATTGATGGAAATCGTCATCATATCAATTGTGCTAACTAATTTCGATGAAAGTCATGTATACTGTTGATAAGAACGGTATAAGTTTATGTGGTCAATCCAATTGACAAAGGGGCAAAGCCCTTTTCTTCTTTTGTGTGTATTTCGGGTGGGGTTACTGAATAGAAACATAATTTTGATAAAGGAAGAAAATCTACCATCAAATTTTCTATACATCTTAAGGATTTTGCGTACTGTGAAGATGAAATTTACTAGTGAATTCGAACTGTCGTTGTGAATCCATCCTTCTGCAAACACTTCACAAATGGACAAACAAGACAACGATTTCCTCTGAAGTTCTAGTGGCATATGTACTTCATGCATTTACTTTCGCAGAACAAAATTTTTTTAGTAGCGAATTCAAACTTATAATTTGAATCTTCTCTTTCCCTTCTTTACTCCAAACACTTCTCAAACAGATGTAGAACACACATTAGTTTGATTTGAAGGTTCCACTGGCATATTAACTTCACAAATTTAAATTTGGTGCCTAGACTACCGAAGTTCAATATAATGTTCCGATGGAATTTCATAAAACTATCCATGATAGAAGAGATACATGTGGGGGACCAAATGATGTTTTTCATAATGCGCAAGTTCATAGTTACCAACAGGGTCTGAGAAACATTAACTCACGAGACCTATTTCTGTACTTTAAACTGATTGAGCAATTTACCCATTAATTAGACAAACAGAAAAGGAAAACAAATTACAGAAGCCAAATTCTCACCATGCTAATGGTGGCACCAAAGCAATGTAGAATATCCCTTCGACTGAAGCCATCCGCACTATTAACATGAGCTTCAATCTTGCAATTGATTACCCCCTGAAATTTCCTTGCAATGAGAAAATGAAACCAACCCATAAATATACACACATACAAAAGTAAATTGAAATACGTACAGAATGAGGAGAGCATCTCGAGAGGGTGGTATAAGTAGATGGTGATGGAAGCAAAGAAGGGACAGTTGAAATGAAGGAAAGTAGCACCATTTCTTCTTTCTGCGTGTGTGGAGGCGGACAGGAAGCAGAAAGATTATAAATGGACTCAATTAGAAGGGAATTACGTGTTTGGTCTGTGTGGAGTACCTTGATATGCAGGGGATATGTCGTTATCCTATCTTGGATTTTGGTTCCATCTCACTCTTTCTAATTTCTCTTCGCACTACACATCATGTTTAGTACCAATCTTATAGTTTTAGGTAAATTCTCCAAGTGGGTGCCTAACATTTCTTAGGTCCATGTTTGATGAAGATTAAAATTAAAACTTTAATTTAAATCAAAGTAAATAATTAATTTTTCACGGAATCCACGACTTTCCAATAATATATTTCTTCAAATTATAGTATAAATTAATTTTTATCCGAACCAAACAGTGGTTAAGCTTGTCATTCAATTCTTAACTTTTCAAAATTGTGGTACTCATGCCCCAACTTCAGGTAATGTCGGACTAAAACAGTAAAATTGTTTAAAAAGATTTCATTTATTCTCAATCAATCTAAATTGTGAATTCAACTTTCATTTAGAAAACTGAATATTGTAAAATTTCGTGTTCATCATGAAACATATCCCTTTGCTTCTAGGACTATTTTTTCATCCGTAAATAAAAGATGTATAGATCAAAAACTAGTACTCCGGGCTTACTCTTACAAAATGATGTACAAACGATAAATATCTAAAGACATAACGCTAAATACTCGAAATGAATCAAAACATGAGGATACAATGAAAACATAACTTTGTATACATGTATTTTGATCCATCTGACGATGCTCTCGGATTGCAATCTGTGATCTTCAAAAATCAGCCTATTACAGGCTGCCTAAATATGATAAACAGTGCTAGCTAACGCAACACTTTTGGCCTTGCTTTGCCTAGTCCTCCCCTACCCTTCCTTCTTGATCCATTTTAAGGCATTAGTGGTCGTAGATATGGTTCTAGTGATGCCCAACCGTGCTCTAATCTGCTCCCATATCATTGAACTCAAAACACACTGGAAGAACAATTGATGGACCGAATGTTGACAGAACACGCACTGTCATCTAAGTCCATCTGTTGTAGATGGTCTTTCGCAAGGAGCTTAGTTTTCGCACTAAGCCAAAGGATAAATGAGTAACTTGGAGTGATTCATGAGTTCCAAACATCCTTTGCCCAAATCATAGCAGTTCCCTTCGTTCTAAAATGCTCATAAGCATACGAGATGCTTATGTTGTTCCCTCGAATCCATGCTGAAATTTTATTAGTGTCAACATGCATCATTCATTCCGTATGTATCAACAAATCTACGATTGAGAGAATCTTTTTGAGCAACGACGAATGATCCTTCTTGGGTGACCGTTCCCATATAGACGCCCCTCTCAAGTATACATGTTTGACCTATTGGACCCATAGTGCATCTTTCATGGTATGGATGTTCTAAAGTAATTTAGCTAGCAACACATTATTTGAACACTTACTGTCTCGAAATTCTAGTCCTCTCTCACTTTTGGGGTGACACACACCGTCCACGTAACTAACGATTACTAACAATTTTTTAGAATTCTAAAGAAAGTTTCTACAAAACTGTATAATTAGACGTAATCGTGGCCAAAATAGGAAAGATGACCAAAAGCATTCAAGTCCTTGCAAGACCGTCCTCACGAATTAAACCCTCCCGACATACGAAGTACATGTGCAAGCATTTATGTATGCCGCAATCTTGTCTAAGAATGGACCATAGTGAATAACTTTCAATTTTCAAGTCGCAAATGGAATCCCCAAATATCTAGATGGCATAGTCCCCTTAGGCATGCTCACAACATCTTGGATTTCTTCCAAATCTGCCCCATGAATACCTGCTGTGTATAGGTTGAACTTATTCAAATTCACCCTAAGTCCCGAGCAATCATCAAATTTGGACAAGCAATGCATCAATATTTGCACCGAAATAACATCACCTCTAGAAATAACATCAAGTCGTCCGAGATTGCACAATACTCATCATATCGAGTATAATCATCATTTTCCCCTACTTCTCATAGGATAGAAACGGGTCGTTGGCTGGCGGACGATGAGATGCTGTCCTTGTGCCTAGATTCGTTGGACTCAATAAATCAAATTGGTGTAATGTAACTGAATATTTTATTTTCAACTGAAATCTTAGTTATTTTTTTTATTTATGGACCATTTTTCTTCTTAGGACACAATTTATTGGATTGTGAACTATGGCATATGTTATTTTTTTATTTGTTAAACCAACATTTGCTTGTTGGCTATGGTATAAAATAAATTTTATTAAAACTTTTGATGATAGCAATTTTAATTCTAAAATTTGGATCATTACAACATGGTATCGGAGCCCAAAGTAGGAGATTGGTTGCTTGCATTAAGATCCTTGTTGTTATACTGACTTGGTACATTAGAAGTTTTCATATGTGAAAAAAAAAAAGTGTGTCCATTCACCGTGAACAGTGAGAGGTGTCACTATTAAGGGGTGGAAAGAAAAAAGTATATATTTTTTTAAAAAAATAATTTTAAATGATAATTTGTATGAAAAAATGAGAATGTGATTAATATTAAACTTTCATGTTTTAATGTTACGTGTAATAAATGATTATGTGTTTGGCCATGCCTTTGCATAATGTTTGTTAATAATTAATATTTTTCTCAAGATATATGAATTTAAAGATGATGCAAATTTAAAGTTTTTAAATATTCAAGAATATGAAAGATCTTTGGCACTCAACGAACACCAATCAATCACCTTCCGATGGCCTTAAGATATGTAATGGTTAAGGAAAGAAATGATTATTCAAATCTTTTGTTTAACTTTACATTTCTATTGCCTATTTATAAATTTCACGATATATACATTTCCTTTCTTCCTATACTTATATTTTTTTTATATACCAAGTAAAGCACAATTTCCTTGTCTATGTAAATGTATACTCGAGCATTAAATACACTACAATTTATAAAAATGTAAGAATAGTATATTAGGCTTGGTGCTTGTATGTGACAGATGATACTATTTTTTTAAGAAAATGGTACCACCTACTCACACAAATTTGATGCGTGACAAACCGGGAATGGTACAAGATTTGAGCGGACAGAGTCAAGCACTTCCACCACAAATTGCACCAACACTACAAAAAGCACATCCATTTGTTCCTGAAGCGATCTCAATGGTTGAGAAATTACGTAGATATAAGTCTCCTACTTGTGATGATGGTTCTGACCCATTAGCTGTTGAGGAATGGATTAGAAGTTTTGAGTGTATCTTTCAACACATTGCTTGTACAGATGCACAAAATGTACTATGATCAGAATTTATGTTTGTTGGATCAATCAGTCATTGGTAGGAGTCTACCTCATGTACTAGGATCGAAGAGCAACAACTTAATCTGACATAGGAACAACTAAAGGATGAGGTGATGGCAAAGTACTTTTCACGGGCTTTGAGAGACGTCAAGGAATCAGATTTTCTGCAACTGAAATAGGGAAACATGTCACTTACTGATTACAAGAGAGAGTTGAGCAGCACTCAAAGTATGCCCCACACTTGGTGGATACAAAAGTAACAAATGTCAGGATGTTCGAAAATGGACTTCATACGGAGATCAGCACAATCATCATGTCTCACCATTTCATATCATACCGTGAAGTTTTAGAAAGGACTAGTGCAATTTCGTACCAAGCACTATATTTGAGCAATATTCCCAATAGAGCAAAGAGTCATCCGGAAAAAGAAACTGGAATGATCAGAACAAAGAAAGATGTAACTGGCAGAATAAGTGACCAAGTGCAAGAGTTGGTTTTGGTACGATAAATGGGATAAATGTAATAAACTTTGCAGGAGTGAATGCTTAATGGGAAGAACATGCGTTTTCGGTGTGGTAGGTTGGGATTTGCTTTGAACTGTATAGAGTCTCTACAGAAGAAGGATGATGACCAAGACAAGAACAGAAAAGGAAAGGCTCGAAGTTTTTACACTAAATCAATAGAAGGCTGAATAGGATCCAAATGTGATAGCATGTATTTTATTATTATATGATGTACCTGATTATGTTCTTTTTTACTCTGAAGTTACATATTCTTTTATATCTACATCTTTCATCGCTAAGTCTAACACTGACATTGCATGTGTGAAAATGGATAATGCATTAGAAGTTAGCATCCTTTCAAGAAGAACTCTTTGTACAAATCAAGTAACTGATGCTGTTAAGTTAGAGATTGATAGAAAAGTACTAGAGGCAGACCTACACCTTTTGAACATGAAAGATTTTGACGTTATATTAGGCATGGATTGGTTAGGACGTAATCATACAACCATCTGATGTCACGATAAAGAAGTGTTATTTCATAAGCCGAGAGATGAAGAGTTTCGTTTCCTTGGGACGAAGTTCAAGTCTCTACCTCGTCTTGTATTGACTTTGCAAGTGAAGTAAATACTGAAAAAAGAGACATGTCAAGGATTCTTAGTTAATATTATCGATTCCCAACATGCGGAAACAACTATTACTAATATAAACATTGTGTAAGACTTTGTGGATGTATTCTTAAAAGACCTTCTCGGTATTCCACTAGATAGGTAGGTGAAATTTATAATTGACTTGGTCCCCGAGCGGTACCAGTATCAAAGACCCCGTACAAAATGGCTCCAAAAGAACTTCAAGAGTTGAAGCTACAATTCGAAGAGTTGCAAAATAAAGGTTTCATTTGACTAAGTGTATCTCCATGGGGCGATCCAGTACTCTTTTTGGAAAAAAAGATAGGACTATAGGGGATGTGTATCGACTACCAAGAATTGAATTATCTAACCATCAAAAATAGATATCCACTTCCAAATGATATACCAAAAAACTAAAAATGATATACCAAATGTTTTCAAGAACTTAAGTAAAGTTTTTGGTATATCATTTGCCTTGCCTTGACCTTTCAAATGACTACAAGGTGTTTTCTAAAATCAATTTGAGATCGGCGTATCATCAGCTAAAGGTCAAGGCAAATGATAT